AGCGGCCGCCCCTAGCTTTCAAGTTGGGGGGCCAACTGCCCCCACTGCCCCCCTCGGTTCCTGCGTCCTGAGCAAGGACATGCAGCCATAGATTACCTGCTACCGGTATTCCTGTCATCTGCTTGTTTTCATTACTGCCCTCTTATCAACTCTGTTCCTTCGAAACAAAGGAAAGAATGCAAGAGAGTAAACAGGATGAGCATCATGTTGTTCATGCTAGCGTCTTACAGCACTTATCTCTAAGCCTGACTTTTGAGCGAAGTGCGATAAGTTCTGCTGCACCAGTCACAACGGCTGCAGTCACTGTGTTCAGCGCGCGGGCAACACACTGTGCAATGGTCTACTCAAAGCGGCGGGACTCACTGTAGCAGTTGAGAGCGCTGCTTCTGTCCTGCCTCGACGCACTCTGGGGCAGCTTTTGCCGCTCGAAGTACTGACCTGTGGTCGACACGCCAGCAAACACCCAGCACTGGCCGAACTTGACAGGCTTCCCAGTGTCGTAGTACCTCTGGAGGATTTTGACCGAGCCCTGCCACTTGGGCGGCGAGCCGCCGCCGTAGTCACCGCTCCAGTTGCCCACCAGCACGCCGTTCTCGTCGCAGTGGTTCACCTGGCGAGGTGGGCACCAGGCGGTCTGTGACGCGCAGACACAAGAACTGCGTGTGGGACCGACCGACCCAGGCCTGAACGGGCGCACGAAACAGCACAGACCGGCTGAGGCCATGCGGAGCAGGACAGCACGGATGATGGGATGCAGACGTGCGCACGCCGGCTGACGTTCTGCGGGTGCTGCACGGGTGGTAGACTTGCAGACCAATCGTAACACTCGTCCAGCATAACTCTCGGTCTAAGCCAGGTTCGTGAAGAGTCGGGTTTATGGCGTGAGTATCGCAGCAAGCTTCGGAAGCAGCGCCGCCTTTCGTGACGGAGGAGCCACAAGTTCGCCATCTTCAAGTCTAAGGCGACACGGTGCGCCACCTACCGCAACAGAACAGAGAAATAAGCGAAACAGCGCGGGAACGAAACAGATACGTCACCTGAAACTTGGCGAAAACTCAATAAGTGACACACCTTGCCAAATCCCGCGCACACAGTACGATGCAGCGCTCTGAGACCACGGCGACGCGGAAATCTTGCACTATCGGATGCATGGGGTACCCACCATGGCGGAGATGGCTCGGGTCACGGCCACCGGATCGGCCCGATCCGACAGGCGGCTGCAGATCGCCTTGCCGACAACATGCAGGCAGCAGTCGAGCACACTGGGCTCGTACTGGCCGTAGTTCCAGGGCGTGGGGCGCAGTCGGCTGTGGCTGCCGCGGTACAGCAGTCCGGCGTCGTTGAGGACGTACTCGGCCCGGGCGCTCTCGTCCGACAGGAACACACTGTCGTCTGGCGCACGGAGGACAGCAGCTCAACAGGTGCGGCCCGACGGGAACACACTGTCGTCTGGCGCACAGAGGACGACGGCTCAATAGGTGCCGTCCGACAGGAACACACTGTAGTCTGGTGCACGGGGGATAGCAGCTCAACAGGTGCCGTCCGACAGGAACACACTCGTCTGGTTTACAGAGGACGTTGTCTCAACGCGCGCCGTTCAGTAAGAGCACACTGTCATCTGGTGCACAAGGGACATTGCTTCAAGCGTCACTACAGGGCTGGCAGACACGCAGTAGAAACTGACATCTGGCGTACAGAATGCACCCTCAGCGCGGATGCGTCGGGCAGTAGCCCCAAGCTGAAATAAGGAAATATAAAACATTAAAACAATTCCAGCTTTTGAGTTAAACGAACGGTTTGAGTGGAATGGGATGAAAAAAACGCAGGCAGTCGAATGTAGTGCTAGTTTTCCTGAGCATTGCCCACTACCAGAACAGCCCAGATTTCGTCAAGTTGTCACAAGTGAAGCTGGCGACTTGGCGACCAAACAGGCCTTCTCTGCAGCACGAAACGAATTCATGACTGTTGATGTAGCCACAGAGTGTAAACAGAAACGCGGTTTGCATACCAGAGTCAATGCCACGAGCCAAAGTGCAGCGCCACACCGGGACAGCGACGGTTCGAATGTTGCGCAGCCTCTACCAGTCAGCCCAGCCATTCCACGCAGACCACACAGACGCCGTCCTTTCTCCCGGCCGCCATCAAGGTCTCCGGAACTCTCCTGTTGACTCTTCGCGCGAGCCTCAGCGGACGCCCGCCAGTGGTATGCACATGCCGGACAGCGATCCCCTGAGCTGCACAGAGCGTCAGACAGATGGTGCACGAAGCACTGTTGAACGTCATCACTGACGCCGTTGCGGCAAGACTCACCGGGGCACCAGGCGTTGAACAGAATGTACATCACGTCCGGGTGGGTGTAGCTCAATGAATGGTCGCCCGTCTTCGTGTCCACGTCGATCCTCCACTTTCCGACGATTGCATTTGGCTGATGGTGTCACCTGCGTGTCCAAAAGGGCTGGGTGACGCGACTCCGACATAGACAGCAACCTCTTCGACGTAAACGTCTTATGTGGGTACAGGTGATAGCTTTACGGACTGATGAGAACAGTGAAAACTTGCACGGATTTGGTAAGAAATCCACCAAAATCGGACGCAAGCGATGAATAATCTACCCACTCAAGGCAAGCTTTCATAACAGAGGGCACATCGGCTACTCACTTTCCCACATCGCCTGGCATGTACCAGGAACACAACACAACACCAGGGAGGAGCGGCACGAAGTCGTACCCTTCAGGTTGGAGCGAGATTTGGGGACAGCGGGGCTCAACGGACCGTTTTCAGCCGCCAGGCACTAGTCAGCGTCGGCAGCCGACGGCATGGACTCGAGGCTCACGCGCTGCTCACACTGAGCGTGATCTTGTCGCCCTCGTTCTGCACGATCTGCACGCGCCAGGCGTCCGAGGAGGTGGGCTCCTCGCGGGTCACCGGAATGGCCTCCAGCGTCCCGTGGCCAAGCGACGGCACCTCCACGCCTGCAGAACCACATCATCCCGTGAGAGAACTGCGCGAGCACGCTGTCGCGCCCGCCAAACCACAGAAGCACCGCTGTAACACCGCTAGGCCAGTCATGGCAATCGGAGGCCAGCCTGTGCGAACAATAGACTCAGGCAACAACAACACATGCGTGGAAAAATCGTGCGGTGTGTCCCGATAGTTCAGCTGGTTCGGATTCGGATTCGGATCCGGATTTACCCAACCGTGACGAGCTGGGTCCGAGCCATTTCAGGCGTTCGCCAATTGTTCACGACTGGATGACCTGGGACCGGTAGCGCCGCCGCGCTGAAGGTCAGGTAGCGTCAGGGGGCAGGACGGACTGTGCCGAGCATTATGGCACGGCAGACTTCCACCGCGAGGCGCTGTTGTTTACCCGGCATTTCACGATCAGATGGTGTGGCCAGAACTCACGAAAAAGCACTGCGCGGGCGCCGATAGCAGAAATCAATGTAATCAAAAGGTTCTGGCTAAATCTTAAGCAATACAAAACAGGGGAAAACAGCGGAAAAGGCAACATTGCGCCGCCTTTCGAATGCTATAGCTTTAACGCGCGCAGACTTCCGCACAATGCAGCTTTCAGTTGGCATGAGCTGCACATATCGGACACTCACAGTGCATCAGTCTGAGCGATATCGCAAGGGAAACAAATAAATATGCCACATAACCATGAGCGCCGACGCCGTTTGTCTAACCAGATTCCATCCCCGCAGCAACACCGCTTAACAGGATGCATTGGATCACCGTGCGCTGTCAGCCCCACTCCCCTGCCCTGTCCATACCACCGCGGTTGCAGAGCCGAGCGGCCCAGCGCCGCCCGGCCGCCCCCGCCGCTGTTTACCTTGGAGCGGCGCTCGGCGGCACGCGGCAGAGGGCAGCCGGGCGGTGCGGCCGACGGGGCGTGGGCGGCGAGGTGACCCCAGTCCCACCGGTTGCCGCCGGCCATGCCAGGGAAGGGGGAGGCAGGTAGGGTCGCGCGGCGCTGGGCGGAAGGTTCGTCAGGACGGGAAGACGACAGTCCTTGACGGAACAGTAGGATGGCGGATGGAATTCGGTGTCGGTAGTCCATGGTTGATAAGCGTCCGGGACGTTCCCGCGCCCTACTCGGTGATACCTAATGGTCCCCTGACCCTTGTAGTTTCTGAGCGTCCCTAAATGGTGATAACCTGGTCCCCGGTGAGCCGCGGATGGAGACCACCCGGAACTCTGCTGGCCCCCTCACTTCAACGCAAAACCTTTCATTCTTGGCCCCAGACGGACCTCAACGGAAACTTGTTTGAAGTCAGCTCGGTGAAAGGAGGGATTGTAAGCTGGTACTTAGGATAAATACTCAGGATGAATATGTGGGCATAGGTGCTTTTAACTTACAAAGCTACACGCCAGTCTGTTTTGCCTTTGTGCCGGTGAAATGCTTTGGCTGGTTGGCGACATGGTAAAATAACAGGTGAAATCCTGATAGTTACGTTAGGTTACACCCCGGCTGAAATATTCCCAGACAAGGCAATTCCGCCTACCATCGACGCTGAAGATGAGTGAGATGTTGTCCCGATCCTCTGTGTATTTCCTGTTGAAGCGAATGTAGATCTCGAAGGCCTGGCCGCGACGCACGACCAGAGCCGGCCCGGTGATGCCGCGCTCGAAGCGCTGCGTGCGGTGCTCGATGGCGTTCCTCTGGACGCACAGGTCCAGCTCAGTGACGACCAGCGCGCCATCCAGCAACGGCTGGCTGGTCACTGCTGAAACGGAGCAGGCGCCGTCACCGCGGAAAAGCGCGGACAATACCGCCTCGAAACGCGGCCGACGATGGCATTGCGAAATGGGGCCGACGATTCCGCTGAGGAGCAGCGGGTGACGTCACTGCGAAGTGGGGCGAGGGTTGTTGCTGCTAAACTTGGCAGACGATGGCCCTGTCAGATGGGACGGCTGAGAGTTTTGACGCAAGGTCAGCTGGTGTCACCACAAGGGTACACTCTAGCGAGCAGAAGCTCAGTATGTCGTTTCCAGGCCAGACAGTGACACCGCCTGACGGGTCACTGGACGCCCGCCAGGTGGTGTCACTGCCGGCTCTCCATCCAGAGGTCAGATATTGAGAACTGGACACTCTGTCAACGTCTTAAGCCGAAAATATGTGGGCCAGGCTTTAACACCTAATTTAATATACTAACCAGTAAGCAAGGTCAAAGCCAAAAATACATATTAGCCGTTGGCCTTTGTTCTTGTCAAAAATTATCGAATGCTGTTGGCGCACCCTAATGGCTTGCATAGACAAGAACAATTTCCTTTACATGAGTACGCCGTTCTCAGTATAAATATCCCTGAATGTCCTCATCGCCACGCAATTTCGCGTTTGATAATAGGTGAGGCAACAGGATTGTATTTCACAGTAACAATTCGCCTGGTGCCGTTTTATCCTCGGACAAAGTGGGTGGGCCTGAATAGGATGAACTGTATTGCTAGGTAGCCAAGGCGTTACCAAGGATTTTGAGTGGGGACAATTTTTCCCAGGAATCTCCTGGACAAAATGGGCCTCCTCGTAGGGGGGGGGGGGGGCGCCTGAGCGAGGCACTCCACTTGTCTCTTAAATTTTGGCGGGAATGGGGTAGGGTAACCCAGCAACGACCTATCGCTACCTCTTAAAACTATTTGTACCGTGCATTCCTGACTTGTAATACCTGAATAGTCATAATTGTACAGTATAACCTGAATAGTCAATTCAAAGTTAAATCACATCACGGCAGAAGCGGGCCAATTCGCAACTTTGCACTATAAATTTTGCGCAATTTTATGCCAGTTTATTATACTTCTAAGTGATTTTGCGGTCTGAAAAAGGAGACCCATTGTCGGGTTATGCAGGTAAGTTGGAGCGCATCACGTTGATTAATTTTGGACAGAAATAAGAATAGCATGCATCAGTGGTAAGCTGTTACAAAGACATTTTTTGTTGTTGCTCGAACAGGTATAAACCGTGAAAAGCAGCACGGTTGTCAGAAACGCTAAGGAAATTTGCTCGCTGGTGGCTAGGCAGGCGTCTGATGACTATGGGTAGATTGTGTTGACAATAGTGCACGTATTCGGATGTATCCTGTTGGTAGCCACATTGGAGGCCTTAACTTTTCAAAAGAAAACGTGAACGCTTAGGCCGTCCGGTTCTGACCGCCTCACCATTTAAAAAGAGACACATTTTTGAAGCACCTTCACAGCACCTTGTTTTGTTCATTCCTCCAGTCGAGTCTTTAGTGCCGTTCCTTTTTGGCGATAACAGGCTCGACCCATCCTGTATATGTTTGCGGCAACACCGCAGAGACCGGACGAAGGCTTTCGCTGTCTGATTCAGCTACCCGAAGAAAGTTTTAGTTTGACCTCCTTAATAATGCTTGTTTTAGTGGCTCACGAGCGTAGTCACGTAGATACCCTTCCATATAACCACCATGCAAGTACGGCGCCTAACGGAACACGCTTGACATCTGTCGTCGAACGCTGCGAATGTTCGTATGCAGCGGGCAAAATATGTGGCATCCAGTCCTCGCAGTTCGACATCCAAGAGTGCCCGCTCTGATCTGGTCTGATCTGAAGTTAAGTCCCCGCTCTGATCTTTTGAGGGCAGAAGAACATCGTGATTCACCAAGTGTGGTCCTTAACACTTAAGTGATATCTGGTTTGGCGTTTGAACGGATTAACGTTAATTTACACTGAAATACAAGGAAATAAAATGTTCACTCAAAGTTCACCTGTGCACGACTTTACCACTTTACACGACTTTACACGAGGTTTTTGCACGACTTTACATAGTTCAGCCATCTTCGCAGTAGTGTCCAAAACAGTGCCATTTGAAGGCTCGTTTAAGCTGCCGCTGTACGAGCACGACACTCGTCCTAGAGAGTCGCCCTATGTTTTGGAGAGACTGCCACGTCCCAAGTGGCCCTCAGCAGTCTGGCGAAAACAGGCCGCCTACGACAGCCGCTGCCCAGGCTGTTCTCTGATGAAAACAGCTCGCCGTGATTCACGTCGAACCTGCCTACCGGCGCGGCGAAATACGACCTGCTGCCGGGCCTTTCAGTGGCCCGATAAAAGGGCCACGTGTGGTCTGTCTGGAGCGGCTAATCGTCTGTTTGCTAAGTAGCGATCACCGGACTGACAAGGACTGCTAGCCTGTCTGGGAGTCGCCGATGTCTACCTGGGGCACTTGTTCGGGTGTGACGGAGCCGTCCGCCTACAAAAACATCAGTCTTTATGGGACCACGCTCTCTGCCAAGGCCTAGGTAAGTTCCTTTGGTGAGGCTATTGGACAAAGGCGATGCACCGTTTCACAAAAGTCGAGTTGTCTTTGAAGGACCAAGCCTGTCTTTCAGGGACCAGACCGTCCGTGTTCAGACTGTCTGCCAGAGACCAGATCCATCTGCTTGGGGTCTGGCTGCTCATCAGTGTCCGTGCTCATCCTCTAGTCTGCCTGCGTCAGGCTGTCTGATAGGGACAAGGCCTGTCTGATAGTCGTCCGGCCCACCTGCCAGGCGGCAAGCCTGTCTGCCTGCGTCAGACTGTCTGACGGGTCAAGACCTGTCTGATAGTCGCCCGGCCCACCTGCCAGGCGGCAAGCCTGTCTGCCTGCGTCAGACTGTCTGGCAGGGTCAATACCTGTCTGATAGTCGTCCGGCCTAGCCGCCAGGCGGTAAGCCCGTCTGCCATAGCTCAGGCTGTTTATCGACCACCACGGCTATCGTTCAGTGTGCAGACGGTGTGTCAAGTGTCAGGTGTTTGGTGTGTCAAGTGTCAGGCCTGTCCGTCAGGCGCCTGTCTAGCCGTGGGCGAGCCGACTGTCCGGGAGGCGGTCGGCCTGCCGCGTGCTGACCGCCGGTAACCGCTGGTTACCCGGCCGCTGACATTTCGCCTCCGTGCCAAGGCCAACAGCACGGTCGCGCTCCTGGCCGCCCCCTGCCTCCCTCCCCCCCGGTCGGGGGAGGGTCAGGTGCCGTGTGGCTGAGGTCAGCTCGGCGGGCCCGTGACGGGCGATCACGAGCGGAGAGGGGGGGGGGGGGCGGGGGGTAGAGGAGATCAGGTGGTATAGCGTAGGGTGTAGGGATCTGAAAGGAGGGACGGTTACCAAGGGTGGAATTAATGAGTTCTGTGGTAAGGTAGCCCCAACGGTGGAGGAGGCAGTCGTCAGGCTGCAAGGATGTCCGATTTGTCGTTCAATTCCTGGCCTGTAGTATACCCCTAAATGTCTCGTAGGATCCAACAGTCTAAACGGCTGAAAACGGGCCCTCATTTGCTAATGGTTGGCTTGAAAAAAAGTGCTCGGGTTGTTGAGGAAAATGGGAAAATTGTGGCCTAAGGCATGCCAGGGGGGGGGGGGGGAGGAACAATGGACATTCAGCCTAGGAAGCCTGGCTGTACTCTGAGCGTACATTAATGTCCGCTTCCGTTCCGCCTCACCGCCAATAGAACTCCCCTACATCGGCATGACTCCTAGTTTCTTGGTGGAGCGTGGCGTTTGAGCACCGTCTGTTCGCGGATTTTAGATTTTTGTGGGTCGTCTGGTTCACGTGCCGACCTCGTCTCACGGCGCCCGGGGTACGATGCGACGCCTCAGCCGTGATGTCGATTCCCCAGCTCCCCAAAATCGCCGAGGACTCGCTGCCCAACGTGAGCCCAAGAGCCCGCGGCCGTTCCCGCCGTCGTGGTGTTGTCTGTGACTCACCCGCGAACCGGCCAGTTAGGGGTGTTTTCAAAAACTGGTGTTAGATTTCAGCAGCCAGAACAGATGAAGAGAAGAAACTAACTGCATGGTGCAGCCTAAAGTACCGGCATCTGTAAGGTGTCCAGCCCATAGGTGCGCCAGTAATACGCGGAACAACGAGCTAATGCCACCATTTCGGTAATAAATATCGAATACACGATCCCTGGGGTCTTTACCGAGGCAAAATGTGTTATAAAACTGCACAGGAGTGCAGCCCTGCCTAGGGCATCCACCCAACATGTGCCAGCACCTTGATCACAACTGCTGAAACCATAAGTTACAAAAAAATTACAAACGTCAATCTAGAATTCCCCAGAATTACCAGAATCGTATCTGACTTTTCAAGCCATGTCATAAGTAACTAAAATGGCAAAAACTTACATCCATTGACTTAATGTTCTTGAATGACGGAGAGTTTAGGTAAGTTTAACGTTTGAAGGCTTCGGGAATTCATGAAATATGTGCATCAGCACGGATTTTAATGATTTTTTTCCCGTCTGTATGCATGTCTGTTTTAACGTTTGAAACACTCTCCAACATAAAATGGTTACTCCGGGTATGAGTCGATAAGGTCCAGAGGAGAACCATATCAAAAAAGCACTAGTAGCAACAATCAAACAGTTAGCAAATATCAAACATCGAGGGCACAATCACCTCAAGTACATAAAGGGACGCGCACACATACACACACTTTATATATATATATATATATATATATATATATATATATATATGTATATATATATATTTGATGCTAAGTGATTGCACAGTTTACACATGAAAGACGCGAATGATTAAGTGCGTAATCGCGGAGAGAAGCTGTTGTCGAGTTGTACGGCGCTGTACAGGAGGCGCCGCCTACGCGTCTCCGTTCTCACACGCAGGAGAGCTAGATCAGAGTCATTACGAGAGTGTAAGCAAAGGAAGGAGTTGTCCTATATCTGAGAGGCACGAACCTGCGGTTAGCCGGTAACACGTGGTTTATGAGGCAAGT